CTTTCTGGGGTACACTCAACATAAATTGTGTTGAAGAGAAAAAAACGTTTCACTCCATAGAGTTACTTCAGGGAATAGTTACAGCGTGGTAAAATTATCTCAGGGATTTGTGATCTTTCAGTGCCTGGTACTTCCTGTTTTTAATGTTACTGTTACTATAAGGGAAGGAGTAGGGTGTTGGCTCTTTAGAATAAGGCACTACTCCAAAACTGGTGGAAGCACAACAGGAAAGTGCTGAGGTGCGTAAACAGCTGCAGTTGTTAGAAGAAGGAAAGCTGTGATGAGCTTGTCCTTCAGTGCTAAGAATATTGCATTGCCACAACTGTTCTGCTATTTTGGGTTTGTATGTAAACCGTATTGCTTACTGCTTGCTTTGGGTATGAGCTGACTCTTAATGTATAAGAAGAAAAACCAAACCAAAACTAACAACACAACAAAACAATAAACAAACCAGAGAGAGGGGGGACAAAGTAAACAAAGATGTGTTTGGTGGTGGAAGTAGCAATGGAAAAATTGAAAGCAAAAACAGATGTGGAAAAACTAGATTGAATCAAACAAAACTCAAAAGTTATCAGACATCATTCCTTATCTAGGATGTTCCTAAACAGTTTTAAAGTCTATAGTCAAAATTTGTCTTTGAAAGGAACAGGGGAGACATCATGGATATTTATAAGATAGACTTGGCTAATTTGCATTTATAGCAGCACACTTCAAGTCCTGTAGAAGCTGGGAGAAATTCTAGCACTGTATTTCATACAGCATCTTAGAATGACATTAAATTACTATGATTTCAATAATTAATTCATGCCCTTATTTTGCAAGCATGAGTAGTGTGTGATCTTTGTAAATTTTTATAGGTAATTTCTGAATTTAATACAGTAATTATAACTGAGACAGATGTGTATTGATTAAGGAAAAATGAGAGAGGCATATTCAGCTGCGTGAAAGATTTCACAAATGTGTTTGATCTTTGCTAAATTAATTAAATTATGGATACATTTGTAAAATGTTAAGCAGTACTGATAAATTTTTGTTAGCAAAGAAATGATAAGTGACTTATCTTATTTGGTGTTATTTTTCTGTTTCAGAGAATGACAAGCTGATAGAGTATGACAGCACAACTACCTAAATTAGGGACAAATTCCAGTTTATTGACTGTTAGTGTGAATTCAGGATTTGATTAGAATTTGTGTGTGTGGTAGGCATTATGCTGATGTAGTTGAATTAGAAATGAAGCTTTGCTTTTATGGTGTACCTCTAGTAACTAAGGAGTACTTTATGAAAAATAATCCAAGGTACTTGCAGTTTTTACTTATGTATACATATGGACATTTATTCAGACACGTCTCCTGTAGACTTCAGTAATAGAACTTTGCTCTGAAGTTTGCTTCAAGATTGTCTTGTTTCATTTTGCAACAGCTGATGAGCTTTAATGAACACAGAAGTAAACTGAAGGGACGTGCCAACTTCATAGTCAGTTTTGTGACTCACCTGGTCAGAGCTGCCTCAGCAACTACTGGATTGTTGCACTCAGTGTTAGATGTTGGATTTGCACCATGAACTCTGTTGAGGATTAAAATAAATGTTTATATAAATACTTTAAATTGAATTTACTAAAATGTGTTACAGAATATTTGGTCCTTTGCATGTCTTTCATCAGTGTATCCTTTGAAGCAAATATTTCTGCTCTTGAAAATAATAGTTAAAAAGCTGTGCTTTGGCACAGAAACTATTAAACAAAGGTCTTTATTTATTGTATGTGAGCTTCATGAGTTTGTCGTCTCTAAAAATATCTGTAAGTAAGACAGTCAATATTATGGTATCATCTTTCAAATGTTCCTCGGATTCAGAAAAGGAGGTACATGTTTTCTTTCTCTTTCACTGTGTGGCTTTGCAATTACCAAGGAAGTAGTGTAAAACTGGGATTTATTCAGAATAATGCTGAGAAAGTGGAAGATAGTTACCAAAGATATCCTCCATGTTTGTGGGATTAAGCACCATGAAGTGATTACCAAAATTCAGTGTTATAGTAGATAATGTCGTGGCCTTGAATAAAGAATTACTAAATTCAGTCAGTCCTCTTAAAATAATTATATATTCAGTCTGAAATATGCATCCAAGTCAAAGCATTTGGTATTCATACTGTTGATGCCCAATGTGAAATGAGGACTTAAGAGGGATCGGTAATGGAATTTTACCTTTGTTTCAATAGGCGTGAAAGACATTCACATGCTTCTCGAGAAGCATGTGAGTGCCAGCTATCTGTATACATTGTAGGTGTGTCATATTTTTGTTTGCACAACCTTGTATGACTGTTCTTTGTTCTACCTCCTTTCTACTCTGTGTATGGCTCAGGTGATGGTGCCCTGGCAAAATACAAACCAGTTGCTTTCTTGAAATGTTGTCACCTGCAAGTGGAACAATGTGGTACCTGATTAGCATTTAAATATGTTCTGAACACACAGGATCATTTAGCAGTTTCATTTTTCTTTAGTAGATGTGGCATGCATTGAACTTTGATGTTGAAACTGCTCTTCTAAAGAGACCTCCCTAAAAGAAGGGAGTAATAGAGACTAATAAATTGGAATTGCTTCTTGCTGCTTGAGAGAGAGCTGAAGTAGCTGCTTTTTAAAAAAGCAAGTATAAGTGTGCAGTGTTCTATAATGGAATGAAATGGTTTACTTGCAGTAGGCAAGGAAACTTGTGTTTTTCTATCATATGGTTAATGATGAAAGAACAGTATGTACTGTGGGCACTTTAATCCGATTGAATTCTTGTACCCTCCCCATCTCATTTATGGGCTCCTTTACATGTCACTCTGAGGTAACTTGCTTACAGCAACCTTCACCCCACTTTCCAACTGTTACAGATTACTGTGTCTGTAATTTAGGGTGTTACTTCACAATTGGCTTCTAGCTAAGATGAAATAATGTAATTTGATCAAACAAGTAGCCGAACTCATGTCCCTTAGTGCATGTGTCCGTCTTTAATTATATTAATCCTAGAATCCTGTGATGGTTTGTGTGCAAGGTCAGCTTGCTT